AAATATGAATTTAAATGGTTTTTGTTAGATAATGAACTATGTTTTTATAAAAAAATAATAAATATTAAATAAATAAAAGAAACATTTGTTAAAATGTCGTGTCCCTATTTATTTTTCCACCACTGTATATCTTTAAAGTGATAACATTCTTCATAGTGTTTCTTCATTTGCTAAAAGTATATACTATTAGCAGCAGATTTCAAAGTTGGAATAGGTATTAAAAATCAGTTAAACCACAGAAATTGCAGATAGAGGGTGTTCAATATAAGCCCTCGATCTGATAATTTTTCAGATGTGAACAAATAAAATCTTAGAAATGGTGCAATTAAACCTTACAAATATCTCGACGCTATCGTTTACTTACGTGCCAACAGAGGATGAGGATTCTTTTTTAAATTTGCCCTATCACTTGTGAAGTATTCTTCCTTTTCCTCTTTTTGTTTCGGTTCTTGTATGGGAAGTTCATCTGTATTAAAATTAATATATCACAAATCTTAAGATAATTAAGAAAAATCACCTTCAAAATTTAAATCTGCTTCGATAGGTATTATGCCCTCCTGAGCTTTGATGAGGCTGCTATCACCATCATAAATTGTATAGCAACCGTCAATGGCAGGTCCGACTAAACCCCTCACCTTATTAAAAAGGGGGTTGTCGACACACTTAGCCATCGGTCCTCCACCTGACATAAGAATATTATTTATTCGTAACTATACACAAAAGTATAGCATATTTAAGTGTACATATAAAGAAAACTACTGACCAGTACCCATGACATTTTTTTTTATAATTCTTTCTTCCGCTTCCGACTCCTTGATAATTGCTTCCTGGCAAGCGTCCACCGGTGCACCTGTATTGCTGGCAACTTTCTCCCAACCATCAGGAGACGTACCGTACTCCTCCACGTTTTCAACTACAGTAGTCTTATCAACTAAAAAAATTTAGATAATAGCATTACAGTAAAAAGAAATTCCAAAGTGCTTGATATTCATACTCGGAATACTCATTTTTGCAGAAGATGCGTTTTTTTTAGTCTTTTTTTTAAGTTTTTATAATTTTGTTGCAAACTTTCCATGGTGCGGCAGTATCCTGTGGAAATCGAATTGAATTCCCGCGTCACGTCTATCCACGCCTTTTGCTTTGCTAAAAGGCTGGTGCCATCGGTTTTTTTATTTTCTAGGATATGCTTATACTTTTCAATGCAATCGCACAAAAGCAAGCTCTCGCTAGTAGCAAAGTTAGGAGCCCGAACGCGTTTAGTTTGAGATTCCATGACCAAAACAAGATAGTTTTAACGAGTTGAAACTGCAGTAAAATAACTACGAAAAAATTCAATTCAATATAATGTAAAATGATGTGTGGTTTTGCATACCTGTAAGAATGCAATTATCACTTTGTAAATCCAATGGTGAACAATTAAGCACATACATATATTTAATTAGAAGTAATAATTTTTTTTTTGCATTCTATTCTGTTATTGAATGAATATTTGTTGAGCTTTTGGCAATATTATTTTTATTTCAAACATCAAAAAAATTTCAGTATTCAAAACAAACGACAAAAACGGTTTGTGATGCCAACAAAATTAAAAATTGCCCGACAGTAACTTCGTTTACTTAACTCTGTGTCGATTTTGTTAGCTGCAAGACATTGTCTGAGTTAAATAAATAAAAGTTTAACTCTGAGCTACTTATTTCTCTATTTATATATTTAACTCTGGATGTTCTGCAAGTGGGCCTAAGGCGACGTTATGTTGTTGATAAAGAAAAAAATAAAATAAATAAAAAATAAAAAAGTTTTTCAGAAAAAGACAAGAACGGATTCGTTTTGAAGAAAAAGTTGAAAAAAAACTACCGATATTTCGGAGTTTTTCATAGATCTTTGACAAATAGAAGGCATTTAATCGTAACGTAATTTTTACCAAATTAAAGGTGAGGCTTATACCTGTTAACAATGCGACTCTCCTTTGACCTATACACTGAACATTTCTGTAAATAAAATTCAAAAATTACAATTTTACGGCTCATCCCGTTTCGTCCTTCGAAAACCAAAATGGAGCACATGCGAGCAAATTATTTTTGCTTTAATTGCTCAAATATAACTGTAGTTACATATATTTCAAGGAACAAAACTTTGACAAACCTTGAAAAGTAAACAAAAGTACCAATATTTAAAAATATTATTCAACGAAAATATCCAAGGCCATATTAAAAGCAATTTACTTAAATTTAATCTTAACTGATAGAAATGGCCTTCTTCTTCCATGTTCAAAAGGTTTTCTCCTGAAATAGGTCTTCACTAAAACACAATTGCCGAAGAAAGAAGTAGAACGACTTAACTCACCTCAAACGTTTCTCGCATGTCATGCAGATTCATCTGCACATTCCCGCTGATATTCAAAGTCAGCAAACTTCTTAATCGCCGCACTGATTGCGGCTCCAGACGTACCAGCTTATTGTAGGACAAATCCAGGAATGTCAAATTACTCAAATACTGAAACGAGTCATTGGGAACTTTCGCCAAACGATTGTAGGACAAGTCTGTAAATGAGAATATAAACAGACGCAGTAGCACAGCAGGCATAGTGAAGTTTTAGGCGCGAAAAAATATTACAAATACACAGGCATAGTCATAGCTAAATAAGTTTATACAATAAAAGCTCAGTTAGTCTAGACTTAACTTAATTTAACTACCGTAAGAAATCATCAATGATTATTCAACACGTCAACTGAAGCCAGAAGCGGATATATTTTGTTTTTGTATTTTCTCCTTAATATTACGTTCTCATGGAGTCACTAACTCGAGTTTAACGTTTTGAGTTTATGAACTACTGTCAAGCGTTCACATTGGGGTGTTTAAGAAACTCCAGAGTTTAACTTTACATTTTTTTTTGTTTACTTTTTCTTATTCTCATTTAGTCTGTTCCCGTACTACAGGATCTAACACACAAGTCTAGAATACCAACCGTTTAGCGGTGACAGGTAACAAGATCAACGGAAATAAGGTCAATTGACACTATTTCCCACCCTGGAGCGAAATAAAGTCAACTGACATTATTACCTTTTCAAAAGCGAAATAAAGTCAACAAAATTTGGAAATAAAGTCATTGACCCTATTGTCTCATTCAAATGGAAATAGCGTCAACAATGCTTAAAGTATGTCGATTCATAAAAAAAATGTTGTTCTTACAATAAATATTGCCCCGTAAGTGTGAAAGAATTCTGCGTTTTAAATTAGCATATTTTGAACGAATTCGGAATATCTAAGGTGGAAAAGAAACCAGCCTTTCTACAAGGAAACAATTACAGAAAAGGAATTTTCTTACACTGTATTCATGTCTCCGCCAGCAATTTGTGACGACATCATTTAAAAGCAGCTAAGGAGAACGACGACACTATTTATTAGATGGCACATTCAAGCCAATGTGCCAAAATGCGGGTATAAACAATTACTGATTATTTAATATCGGAACCGAGATCATGTAAGTTAATTGATTGGTTTTCACACACTTTTGAAACACAAATTATATGCTTTTTTACTGCAGACAAGTTGTTGCCAAAACATAGCAGAAATCTTCCAATAACTTACAAATATAAAAATGTGAAATATCGAGGGCCTAAGTTCATTAATACCCTCTTTTCGCAATTTGCACCAAAACTTATTTGTGATTTTAGAAACGCGGCTGCGTAGCGTGACTAGGAGAGGCGCGCGCGGACGCGGGCCGCCGCGAAGCAAATTTAATGTTTGAAAGAGCATTAATGTCAATGGATTTTATTTCGCTTTGAAAAAGGTAATAATGCCAATTGACTTTATTTCGCACCAGGGTGGGAAATAAAGTCAATTGACCTTGTTACCTCTCACCCCGTTTAGCTATAAAAAAAACAAGAAATGAGGATCGATAGAACCTTTTACGCTAATTTCAACAATACCAACATTTTTTGGTGCAAATAAAAACCAAAGTCAATAAAGGAGGTTAAAGTTCAACTTATCTGTTTCTTATGTGTTTAATATCTCGGAAACTACTTAACTGATTAAAAAATTAGTGATGGTAATTTCAACATAATTTAAATGCCTTTTATGCGACGTATATAGTATAACCAGTTTTAAAACTAATTTTATATAAACGCCATTTAAAAAAAATTATTTTTATTTTATTTTGTTTTTTTAGTATTTCCGGACTAAAAATACAAAAAATCATATAAATTATATACATACATGAAAGACCAATTAATTGTCTTTATTTTGACATCATTAGTTTTTTAATAGGTTATGGTGTTCAGAAGATATTAATATTTAAAAAAAATCAGAAAATTTAACTTTAACCATTGATATCTTCTTTATATTTTCCTTTGGCCAGATAGGGTTGGGTTGAAATCAGCACAAAAAGTTCAATCGAGCCACATTTTTGGCTTTTGCATCGCTAGATTGTTGATATTCTAGACTTATGTGCACAGAACGACCTCGGACTAATTCTGATTAAATCCTGCAGTACGGAAACAGGCTAACTGTCGGAAAGTTGGTTTCAGGTTTGGGTTATCAAAGACACAAACCAAATCGGGTCAAAAAAAGGGTTGCATTCGCATAAACTCCAAATAAAAGTGGTGTGTAAGGAGAGTTTAACGATACTTCTTGTATGGTAAAATTCGAGTTTAAGAGCTCTTCTCCAAAATGGCCCATAAACTCGAGTTAATGGCTCAATGAGAATGCTTTATAAGCTGTTTGACCGTTTACCGTCTAAAATGCCGAACGCTAAAAAATATATTTGCGTTCACTTCTTTTTGAGAAATACAAAAACGAGAATCTGGCAAGCCTGATTCTCTCACCGCTCTCAATTTCCGTAAGGCCGTAGCTTAAGAATCTAAAAGCTACAGGTTCTTAAGTTGCTTACGGCAAGTTAAGTTTTAACTAACCGCCAACACAGTTACTGAAATTAAGTCTATACTAACTGATCTTTAACAGCCCTATTCTAAACGCAATCAGCAAACATATACTTGTTTATACCGACACATAAAGCGTTTTGCCCCGGTTCGCTGTGATTTAAAACGGAGGCTTAAACCAAATTTCAATACGCTCAGAAATTCAAAAGTGTATTGACTCGCATTTGTTTTGGAATCGGTTTTTTATTTCTCAAATCGATTAGAAAACACGTATAAATATATTCAGCCTTATCACGAGTTTCATATTCCCGAACCGGTTCACTTTTCACTTTTCGTTTCCATGTATTTATTATGGGCAGGATACAAATTTTCGGGAGAATTTTTTTTCGGGTGAAACTTAGGATAAGGCAGATTATTCATTTGACTCGAAGTGAAAATATGCTGGTTTCTTATAAAGTCCATTTTAAATTATAATTATTATTTTAACAAATTTTAATTATTATTCCCTTCCATTTCGGTGAACCGTGCAAATTAATTATTAAACAAGTAAGAGCAGCACTGTCTTCGGCTATGCCGAAAGCTTCATACCTTTCATCAACATCTGAAAATTTTACTTTAACAGATTACTGCATTTGAAAATATTTATATATTCACAGCATACATAGATAGAGGAGATACATACATAAAGGACACCGCAAAAACCTGTATCTGAACAATCAGTGGTATAAGAGATAAAGCATACAGCTTAAATTTTGACGATTTTCTCAGTAGACTTTGTATTATTATTTATAAAATAGCTTACGAAATTTAAAGGTTTTAGCCGTCCAAATAAAGGAGTTTTACAGTAAAACCCCATATCTGAATAATCAGTTGTATGGAGACAATAAATAGGTTATAGTGACCCGATCTATGTTAATTTTACTGTAAACTTTCTATTGATAACACTGGACCACAAATTTCAACTTTTTCTCTTTACCAGAAACGCCGTTATGAAATTCTTATGTAAAATCACCCCCTGATTCCGAAAATCAAGGTTATTTTTAATTCTATGGTACCGTTTTTGAGATATTTGCAATTTACCGTTTTTGCAAAAAAAAAAAATTGGGTCCACTTTATCATATATATCTCAAGAACGAATTAAGCAATTCCAAAACGGTTTGAAGCTTTTAAAAGGTAATAAAATTTTCTATAAACTGTGCATACAACACTTTTTGCTAGGCCCTGTAGATTCAAAGATAACGAACAATCATTACCGATTTTTTCAATTTTTTTTGTAAAAATATAAAAAAAATTGTACTTTGCGGGGAAGGATCTCGAAAACCTTTTACTTTTTTGCAGATTTTTTTTTTCTCCCTAAGCTCTGTTGTATTACAAAAAAAATAAGCCATCATCGAAGAAAATCGATGCAAAACTACGTAAGTTATAAGCGATCAAATAAAAATACCCAGGTTGCGCAACTTCAATGTATGTACCTATACATACATACATATATTAAAGGTATAAAGTGCAAGTGAGATATTATCCGGATAAACGAATAACACCATAACAATGATAACACTTTTTCTTTAAATAAATCAAATAGTACTTTTAATACTCGAATTGTATTATAGTAGGTAGAGTGGTTGCATCGAAAGGAAGAGTGGTTGGGTTCGAAACCTGCTGTAGGCATGTAGTTATAAACATGTATTTCCGTCAGTTATGAGTAAGTATGCAGGTAGATTTTCAAAATTATAAGACACAGAAAATTTCTAAAGCCTACATCTAAAACAGGTAGTATTTTCTTTTCCCGGCTTGTTATAAAAAGGAACCTTTCTGTCTAGGTAAGATTTGATTTTTTCAATTTTATTCTTGTTCCGAGTATAAATATGAGTTAATGCGCTTTGAAACTTCATAACATCTTCAAGGCTCGCCGGAGATAGTTCAGTTCATAAGTCTAATTTCAAAACCGTGATTTATTAAAAAAAATAAAATGAGTAAAAGGACGCGAGAATTTGAGTGTAATAAGAATCCAGATATGTTCTGTTTCATGTGTGGCCAATATACTATCATAAGGCGACGACGAGTGTTCTCAGATCATATCAAAACTTTATACTCCAAGTATTTTGGAATTGAGCCTAAAAATGCTGAAAAACCATGGACACCGAACACTTTGTGTACATCGTGTCGAGTAGAATTGATTCAGTGGGAATCAGGACAACAAACAAAATTTGATACACCAATGATATGGAGAGAACCTACTTGCCATTCAATAGAGTGTTATATTTGTCAAACAAAAGTACTTGGCGTTGGAAGATCAAGAGGAGTAACCTATGCTAGCGTACCTACAGTGACATTACCAGTACTACATTCAACGGCAGTTGCGGATCCAGTTCCATTGTCAACAGTAACATTTGAGTGCGGGGGATCAAGTTGTACTGAATTTCGCATGGAAAACGAAAGAAACGTTCTGTCACAAGCACAACTTAATGATTGGATAAGAGATTTGGAACTATCCAAGGAAAAGGCCGAGATCCACACTTCTCGTATGCAACAATTTAAATTTGTGTCATCCGATGTTAAGGTGACATATAGTAGAACTCGTCACGAACCATTTTCCAAACACTATACCAAGAAAGACAGTATATGCTACTGCAACGACATCCCTGGTTGTTTTCAAAGAGTTTGGTCAAACATATGATTCAAAAGAGTGGCGATTGTTCATAGACG